AAAAAAAAAAGGGAAACAGAACATAAATTGCCAAGCACTGCTCTTCTCCCCTGCTGCTGGGACTCTTAAATCAGTAACAGCTGCATAATGCAAAGGGGGTGGGTGGAGGGTGGAGGCTGGTCCCACACGTCTCATCTTTGCCCTCTGATGCGGAAATGGAGCCACGGCTGAGGTACTAAAAGGCAACATGCAACAACACCTTAAGCTGGGTTGACTCCAACGAGGGCTTCTAGATACCCCTGGCTACTGTGAGGCCATTTTTCCTGCTGGTCTCCATGGTCTCCTGTCTCAGAGGTGGTTCTGTGCTACAGCTGAGGACGCCTCTCATCAGAGAGCTCAACAACACACCAGCTTTCTCTTTCAGTTAAACCATGGATTTAACCTATTTTCCAAATAGTCTGGTGGCCACCAATACCCATCACCTTCAGGCCTCAAGTAGAGTTCAGCCGATGGATTATAGTCAACGGGAAAGACTTGTGTCTCGGGTATATTAGCATTGAACCAGTAATGCTTCCTCGTCTTCAGGCGCTAGACACGCTGCTCCCCTGCAGCACCCTGAAGAGATGATAACTAGATGCTGAGGAGGTTTGAAACTAAAAGCCATGGCCTTCACAGGTGGGAGAAATACTCCCATGTCCACACCTGGTGTGGAAAGGTCACAGCCATCCACCTTCAAATGGACCATGCGACCCTGGTCACTGAGCACTCTGTGATGACTGTTTTAAACTGAGGACTAGATGTCCTCTCCCTGTTTATCAAATACCACTCAAGATTAAATTTATTGCTACCTGGGTGGCAGGCCCAAAGCCCAATTAAAACTGATCTATCTAGCCCTGACCGGTTTGGCTCAGTGGATGGAGCGTCAGCCTGCGGACTCAAGGGTCCCAGGTTCGAGCTTTCTCTTTCAGTTAAACCATGGATTTAACCTATTTTCCAAATAGTCTGGTGGCCACCAATACCCATCACCTTCAGGCCTCAAGTAGAGTTCAGCCGATGGATTATAGTCAATGGGAAAGACTTGTGTCTCAGGTATATTAGCATCGAACCAGTAATGCTTCCTCGTCTTCAGGCACTAGACACCCTACTCCCCTGCAGCACCCTGAAGAGATGATAGCTAGATGCTGAGGAGGTTTGAAACTAAAAGCCATAGCCTTCACAGGTGGGAGAAATACTCCCATGTCCGCACCTGGCGTGGAAAGGTCACAGCCATCCACCTTCAAATGGACCATGCGACCCTGGTCACTGAGCACTCTGTGATGACTGTTTTAAACTGAGGACTAGATGTCCTCTCCCTGTTTATCAAATACCACTCAAGATTAAATTTATTGCTACCTGGGTGGCAGGCCCAAAGCCCAATTAAAACTGATCTATCTAGCCCTGACCGGTTTGGCTCAGTGGATGGAGCGTCGCTCAAGATTAAATTTATTACTACCTGGGTGGCAGGCACAACGCCCAATTAAAACTGATCTATCTAGAGAAACATGTATTTTCCTATTGAATATATTTTTAAAAAAAAACACACACACAAAAAAACTGATCTATCTAGAGAAACATGTATTTTCCTATTTCTGAATGTTGTGGAATAAATCCATGCTGACTACTCGTGGGAGTCCTCTGAAGACTGCAGGAGTTCCTGCACAGAGTAGATCTAGAATTTGAGCCAGCTGCTCTTGAGACATTGGTCATGACCTTCATGGAGAAGTGGGGAGCAGAAATCCTCAAAAGCCCATGCCGAGTCTGATGAGAATGAGCATGAAAGAATCTTATGGTAATGTTTTATAATTCCTCAGGACAAAGGGGAGGAAGTAAGGTGGGATGAATGCTGCTTTCATTTCTGAAGAGATTAATTTCTCTACAAGTCCCAGAAAAACATCAAAAAGACAAAGACCCAAAAGGCAATTTTTAAGCCCTCTGTGTCTCATTCTGAAGGTTTAAGTAAAAGTGGGCAGAAAAAACTTAAAGTCAAGAATTTCTTCCTAGGGGGAGTGACATCTTCGTTGTTAGAATCTGGAGCCTGGGATTAGTCCACGATCCCAAATCTGGACACGTGTCCTATGGTTGGTACCAACCAACATGCTGAGGTATGTGGAGAGGAAGGAAGTCATCCTTCCTAGAATGCAAATGGTAACTTCCAGAAAGGAATAGGGCATCCTACTCTTGAGGAGGGCTGAAATTCCTCCACTGGGAGATCAGCAAGATGTAGTGGCCAAGAAACCACGATGGCTGGAATGGGGTCTTGAGGGTACTGGTTAAAGCAATTGGCAATCTCAATGTGACCACTGAGCAACTTCCAGCTCCTATAAGATGAATGCCTTAGGACAAGGTTTAAGCCATGTTAGAGTTGGAAAGCAGTGGGCAGACTCCTGAGTCTCACTTAAAAATCTACACTGACGTTTTAAATCGTAGGTCCTTGGGATGCTGCACAGGGAAACTTTAGTCTAAGCTCACAGTATACATGAGACCGTTTAGAATAGATCCTCTCTGTCCCAAGTTCAGGACCAAAGTCGGCCTTCCTCTCTACATTTTTAACTACAGAGGCTGTTGAAGGAAGAACAGGGGCAGATTGCTCATCACCAGGAGCAGGAGAGTCAAACACGAGGAGGATTATTCTGGGGATACCTACGCTGGCCTCGTTGGGGAGGTCAAGAGGAGGTTTATACCATTAGCTAAAGATCTGACTGCTGCTTCTCAGGGATGAGCAAACCTCTGACCAAAGCAAGCTACCAGAGAACATTCTGCTTTATCTCACACTGCTGTGTGGCTTGAGATACAACTTGAGGATTTGTGACTTAGAGGAGAAGGGCTCTTACTCACGGCAAGAGCACTGCCCCCTACAGAGGGGCAGCTATCCAGAGATGGGAACTAAATGTTCAGTAAACAACAAACCTCTCTGTAATTGCCTTTTTTTTTTCCTGGAGGATGGGCATCTCATAGCTACTTATGTCCCAAATAAGAATCCATGACTAATAATATAAGTTGTGGCATGCTTGGGGATGTATTAAGGAACAAGAGAGGGATGAGAGAGGAGAGACAACCTGGTCAAATAAGATATTAGGCATAAATGGCCCATTTCCCTCCTTTAAATCAATTTCCCTTTATATCCCAGGCATCTGGCCCTAGAAGAGAGGGGAAGAGGGGAAGGAACGGCATATTCAATAAACTCTTCACTTAAATCAACCAACTCAGTTTGGAGAAACATGAGTTATGTTGCTATGTGTCATCCAAAGTGAAAATGGAAGTATTCTTATTTAGCCATCTGATGCCACTTTTCAAGTTCATTGTTTAAGGGAAGGGCATGATCCTAGATAATAAAATTAGGTTTCTAATCATGGTTATGAAAATGTTATCCCATATGATGCCCTCGCTACAGAAAAATTGCTAGACGCACTAATAGAAAGAGCAAGAGAGATAGTGAAAGAAAGACAATATAAGAGAAAAGGAATAAGACTCAAGGATAATATTAGAGATAAGGGTGTGAGTGTCAGGGAAGGTGGAATGGGGAGGCAGGGTGGGGAGAGAAAAGAAATATCCATCCACACATGGTTGAAATTATATACTCTGTATCTTAGCATCTCTGATAGCAATTGGTTTACATTCTTCATGAGTTTTCCTGTTGAAATTAACATCCTTAAATATTTTTTGGACATAGACTTGGCATCAACTATATCCCATACATATAATCAAACACATAGGCACAGTTGAATTGAAAGCTGGCTTCCCCTCTGAAAGTGTATATTCATTCTCCCCAAGAGATTATGCCTACAGGACAAGCAGGTTATGTAACCACTACATTGACTACTATTCCTTTGCTTGTACCTGCTCTCGCATCTTATCTTTAAAGCTGCTTGGACCCTTCTGATTGATGGTACACACATCAGCTGGGGAATCAGGACCAATGAAGCAGTGGATGACCAGTTTCCTCTTGCCTTTCTCAACTTCTGGTGTTTCTATACCATGAGGCCAATGAAAGTTTTTAGGCAGGAAAGGCTTTTCTTTTCTCACTTTTTCAAGATGACACAGTGGCAATCCAGTGATTAAAGCTCCCTGCCTGAATAATGAAGCTGCTGGTTCCTCTGTGTCCTGTCATTGCCACAGCTCCTTCTGATTCAATTAGGGGCAGCACAGTGGGGGATTTCTGCCTGGTTTCCATGGACCTAAGACTTTTATTTTTATCACATACTAACTTGGTTTTAAACAAAGCTTTGAAGCTTCCCAGGGCTAATCTTTAATGAAATTGGAGAAGCAAATAAAAAAGGCTGAATAAATCCAAATGAAAGCAGCAAAGGTGCTAATTTGGGGAGGATGAAAGGAGTTTAAAAGAGGCAAGGGTAGATTCAGGAAAAAGAAATATTCAAAATTTAATAGTGAAGAGATTAGTTAAAATAGTTAGGTTTTCTATTTTATTAACTTTCTCTACTGCCTAAAGTATCACTTTAAAAAGCAGAAATTAAAGATACCAACAAGAAATCATTATTAAATTATACGGTTAGCAGGGATTCAGCAATGCTACTAAAACTGGGACTATAAAAGCTGTTATATCTAAGCCCTTCTTCTTCCTCATTCTTCCTATTTTTTGGAAATACCTTTTCACTGAAAAAAAAAATTCCACATTGATCCCAACCCAAAAGAGATTATTTTTAGAAACCCTATGATACTTAATCAATCTGACTAGGGCTATGAAATGAAATACAGATGTATAGATTAGTTTTGAGGAAACAGTGAAGAATTATATATTTGGTCTTCAAAATCCAGGAGTTTGGCTACTGATAAATTATAACCAGGTTAAGATTAACTGATAATGGACAACATTGTGTTCCACATAGTTCAACTCAAGTTCTTTCAATGAAAAAATGAGCATTGTATACTGGAAACAAGTTATAAAAATTTGACATTGTTGAATTGGTTAAAAAGTTACCACAAAAGTCACTGATTTTTCATAATAACTGAGCTTTGTGTTTCCCCAAATTACAGCACCTAGGTGATTTTTCTTACAAACCTATACTTTTCTTTATCTTCCTCTTCCTGGGTAGCAAATATCTTCCATTGGAAATGGGCAATGATGTTACTGCGGTTGTAAATAGTTATAGTTCTCTGATTGGCCAGAGATATGTAGGTTTTCTCAATGATCAAAGAATTCTTGTCCAGCCTTATATTCATGTCTACAGCAGCTCCATACAGAGATACAAACATTTTTTCACCTAGAAATTAACAAAGTGAACACATTTTGAGATTTGTTCTAGAATGATTTTACTAGGCTAACCTCCCCCCCTCCCCACCACGGTGAAGTTAGGGAATATTGCACAAGCATTACACATTTCATTTTTTCCCCCCTATCAACCCAGAGGTCAGATGTGATTAGTAAACTTCAATTATATTTGGTGCAACTATAAAAAATCAAATCTTGCTTAATATGAATTGTTGTGGTAGTTGCTACAAGACTTTTTCTTCTTTGTGACAGTTTTAAATCCTACAGCCCAACCATGAGGTCAACTGAGTTCTAGACTTATAATCAATGCCTCATCTCCATCTCAAACATGAGCTGGATTTCTGATTCTTAAAGTAATTGTACCAAGTATATCTGGGAAGAGCTGCTCAGCATGAGAGGATCTAAGTCCAAATCAAAGGGGATCAGGAAGGAGATTCAATAACTTCATTAATAGAAAACAGACTAAGAGAAGCCATATCCCTAAACAACAGCAATTAAACTAAAACAAAAACGAAACACACATGCACACACTACACAAATAGAGAGACAAAAGCTATGTTTATAATTTAAAATTCTTTTAATGTTAAGAACACCTTCATTCAACATAGTAATTTATCCCAGACTTCATTTAAGAAGCACCCATTGCCTTAATTCCAGGTGTATACATGAGGCCCCACTCCCCAGAAGACACAAACCTACATACTGTACTCTATCTGCCCTCTGTAATACCACGGGGAGTGCAGAGAAAGGAAAATACTTAGGTACTATGAATGTTCTGTTGATCTGTACTGCTAAAGCTTTAATGAGCATCCAGAAAGCATAATCATTTGCACTGTATTTTTTAGCAAACATTTTTGTTCCATTCACAATGGTATGAACCAAGCAGCTAGTTAGTAAATTGACAACAACTTTAAATGTATATTTCCTGATAAAATAACTTAAATATCTGAACAAAATATGAATAAACATCTTTTTTACAGGCACTTCAGAGCAATCATGATGGGAGGGAACTACTGGGTCAAAAATAAAGGAAAAACAGGACCCAAAGAGATAAATGAGCATGGAAAAAAGTTTTGACATGAGGACATGCTGCTCTTGGCAATTTTGAGCTACCATTCTTGTGAGGGCAGGACAGATAGAAATCAGTCTACGAAAAGGGAAACTTAAGATGAAAAAAAAACAAAAAACCATCCTTCCCACAATAAGCTGAACCTCAATCCTCAAAGAACTGTACACTCAAAATGAGGGTAGCCCTCGTTCAGAGTTAAATATTATACTGGAATTTATGTTTTGCAGAAAACTTCAAGCATTAAATTTCGTGGTCATGGAATAGCTTTGCCCTAAAAAAAAAACAACAAAAAAAAAAAACTCGTTTCTTTTTGGAGAAAGGTACTTGCACCCAAAGTTTCAAAATTTTCAACATTACAAAAAAACAACAACACACAAAAGCATAGCCAAACATAACAGGACATGTTAAAAACAAAACAAAACAAAAAAACCATAAGTTAGAACCTGAGGATACAAGAAAAACAGAAACAGATCCACAAAGAATCAGAGAGTAGAATCATAATATATAGACTATAGACCAACTATGCTTAGTAATTTAAAGAAAAAAAGGATGAGCTTAACTATATGTAAGGAAATTTTTAAAATCTAGAGAATTTGAAAAAGAGCCACATTTTTGGCTCTCATAGAAAAATAAAATAAAATAACCTAAAATTTAAAAACTCTAAGAATATACCTAAGAGAATTTTGTTAATTTTATTTAAAAATTAGTGAAATAAAAGATGGTTCAGAAAATACAAAAGGCAATAAGAAGAAATAAAACTATACGGAAAATACACAATGAATGGGTAAAAGCCTAGGCAGATGAAGTGAGATGGTGTAAAGTGTTTAACTGGAAACTTGGGAGAGGAAAAAGATAATGAAGCAAAGAAAATATTTCAAGAAATGATGGTTAAGAGTTTTCTAGGATTGATTAAACACATCAGTTCACAATTCAAAAAGCTCAATGAATGACAAGTAGAATAAATTAAAAGAAATTCATACATAAGTAAATTGCAGTGAAACTAAAGAAAATCAAAGACAAAGAAGAAATCCTAAAAGTAGGCAGAGGGGGGGAAAGATGTTACCTTCAAAGGACCCATGGTTAGAATTACAGCTAACTTTTCAATGGAAACTAAAAAACAATGAAATGGTTTCTTCAATATGATAAGGAGAAACAATGCCAACAAAAAATGCTATAATTTTCAGCATATTTTTGTTTAAAAATGTCTGTTTTGTCTTCACTTTTTAAGGATATTTTCAATGTATAAAGAATTCTAAGTTAATTTTTTTCCTTCCAGCTCTTGAGTAATGCCATTTTACTGTCTTCTGACTTCCATAATTTCAGGTGTAAAGTTTGGCATTAATCAGTATTATTAGTGTGCCTTTTAAGAAGGGTGTATTTTTTCTCTAACTATTTTTATATTCTCATTGCTTCAGTGTTCAGCAGTATTTGTACCACCAAGAGTTTTCTGAGCTTTGTGAACCTTGGATTAATGTCATTCATCATTTTTGGAAAATTCACAGCCACTATCTCTTAAAATATTTTTCATTTCATCTTTTTCTCAATTTCTTCCTCTCTGATCACATATATGGTGACCTTTTGCCTGTGTCTCATATCTACATAGCCTTTGCTTTCTGTTCTTTTTCCCCTCATTCTTCTTTGCTTCTCTCTGTAATTCAGTATGGGTAGTTTATATTGACTTGTATTCAGGCTCACTAATGCTGTCTTCTGTTGTATCAATTCTATTATTAAACTAACACAATTAATTCTTCATTTCCAACATTAAATTTTCAGCATAACATTGTTCTTATAACTTGACAAAGATAAAACAATGGGGCCAATATATAAACTGGTTACACTTCTGAATATCAATGCAAAATCCTAAATTAAAAAAATTATTAATCAAAATTCATCAGCACATTATAAGAATGATACTGTGCAACCAAATGGAGTTTGTTTCAGGAATGCAAAGATGGCTCACTATTAAAATGTCTATTAGCATGCAATAGATCTAAGGAGAAAAATTATATAATCTCCACTGATGCTGAAGAATCTAATAAAATTCAAAACACATTTTTATTTTAATAACTCAATAAAATAAGAACTGATAGAATTAAAATATAGTATAAAGTCTCAGTAACTAACACAGCATGAAGAGACAGACCAATGGGTGGAATGGAATAAAAAGTCAAAACAGAGCCAGATGTATATTGGAATGTATTATATTATAAAGACAGTATCTCCAATCATTGGTTTAATGATGAATTTTGTTTTTTAAAAAGTGCTATTGGGACAACTTAGCAACCATATGAAAAACAACATCAGAATGAAAGCCAAATTAATAAAATATTTCAATGTTTAGTATGAAACCATAAAAGTATAGGAAACTTTTTGATAACTGTAGAGGGAAAGTTTTCTAACTTTGACTCAAAATCAACGTTCCTCTAAAAAAAGATTAGAAAAGTGACTACGTACAAATGACAAAAGAAATTTTGTATGGCACAAATGTTCATATGCAAAAGTAAAAGAACTGGGTAAAATATTTGCAACTGTGTCTGAGACAAAGGTATTAGATCTCTAAATATATAAGTAGCTCTTGGAAATCAACAAGAAAATCCAATAGAAGAATGGAATTGTGAAAAATGAAATACAAAGGTCCCCTATAAGTACTAACAGATGCGCAACTTCGCTCACAATAAGAGAAATACAGAAGAGCTGTATTTCTAAACCATTTCCCCCATCAGACTGGCAAAACAAAACAAAAATTTGAGAACATAATTTGTTGTCAAGGCTAAGGGGAAATGGCACCCTCACACACTGTTGGAGGAATGCATGATGGTACCATTCTTCATGGAGTCTATTTGGTGACACAGATCTAAATATATATCAAAATTATAAAACTATGAATCCGCCCTGACCAGTTTGGCTCGGTGGATGGAGCATCCACCTGCGGACTGAAGGGTCCCAGGTTCGATTCCAGTCAGGGGCATGTGCCTTGGTTGCGGGCGCATCCCCAGTGAGGAGTGTGCAGGAGGCAGCTGAATCCATGTTTCTCTCTCATCGATGTTTCTAACTCTCTATCGCTCTCCTCCCTTCCTCTCTGTAGGAGATCAATGGAATATATTGAAAAAAACAACAACAAAAAACTATGAATCCTCTGGCCCACTTTTAGGAATTTATCCTATGGACGAGTCAGAACAAGATCAATGGTATTCAATACAGCATTGTTCTTAATAACAACAGAGTGGAAATAGCCCAAGTATAGCCATCAGTAGAAGGCCAGTGAAATAATCTGTGCTACCCCTGAAGGTGGAATGCTGTGCAGGTATGGAAAAGTGCACAGTGCTATGGGAAGATCTCCAGGACATATTATTAAGTAGAAAAAACAAGGTTCAGAACAATTGATACAATATGTTGTTTTGTATAAGTGGGGAAGATAAGTATGCACTCATGCTTGCATCTATTTGTAAAAAACACTGGGAAGATATGCAAGAAACCAATAAAATAAGAGCAAGGTGGGATGAATGAGATAGGGTGGGAAGTAACACCTTTCAACATACACTTTTAAATATATTGCTTTAATTTCTGAATATATGAATACATTACTTATCCAATATTTTAATGTAAAAATGGATTATAGAGCCTCAGGAAAATTGTGAAGCTTCTAGATAGCACTAGTAACGAGAGAAGTATAAAATACCATTTCATAACCATCCGAAAGAAATGCGCATAGCAAAATGTTGAGATATGTTAAACATAATGGTTGTTGATTATATCATGTCTGTGCTTTTGTGGTTATTTGAAATAAAGAGGAGGGGGAAAGTAGGCTTACAGTTATTCATATGGAAACATATCTAATACAAGAATAAATAATAATACAAGAATAAATTCTATGTTTCACGTAGTCAAAACTGTAAACCTACTTTTGCCCACCCTGTATCTCA